CCCCAAAACCCCAAAACCCCAAAACCCCAAAACCCCAAAACCCCAAAACCCCAAAACCCCAAAACCCCAAGATAATAAAGCTACTGGAAGAGTTTATTAATTATTTACTTTCAAGAGTAATACTGATCTCCATATCATCTTCGATTACTTCACTGCCTTGCCCTCCTTCATCAGGGACCATTTTTGCATCAGCAGGCTCATGCTGAGGTACTGGTGGCTGGGTTGGTGCAGGAGCTGAGGACTCTTTAGGCTTACCACCTGAGAGAGTTCTCTTACCTGGTTTCATAGGCTTTGGAGGCTTGAAGCCATCCACTTCTTCTTGCTCCTTGATTTCATCATCACTCATAAAGTCAGCTGGGATTACTTCCTTAATCTTCCTTGCTTTTTCCTTATCTTTAAGGTAATTAGGCAATCTGGTATGTACAACTTTGATATACTTTTTGTAAATTTTGATAGAGGAAATATCAGGTGTCTTTATCCCTTCGATTCTTTCTTGAAGGGTTTTTGTTGTGGAATAATCGCCAAACAAGTCGACGAAGTATAAATATACTTTGTTGACATATATCTCTTCTATACTCTCCGCTTCTTCTCTTTCCCAGAACGATTTCTGGAAAATATTTTCATTCTTGAAAATATTTACTAATGCTTCATTATACATCACATCTTGATCTAGTAAGTTCCGGTATAGATACTTGAAGATGGCAAATGCAATGATTGAGGAAGAATAAAGGAAACTCAAATCATTTAAATGAGTGATCCTTATTATCTTCTTGCCTAGATACTCAAAATCTTTTGATATGATATCGCCATTTCTTGGGACTAATCTATCAGCATTCTTGCTGAATAGATCTCAGAGCGCACCATAGGCTCTGTATGGAGAGTAGATGAAGAACTGAAATTTGAGACCTTTTATCAGGAAAGCTTCATTTTGGACTACTTTCTCAATCTTGCACTGCTTGTTTGTGCGAGCGAAATCTATGAGAGTGTAATTGACTTCTTCAACTTTGATGGCGAGGAAAATAGCAGTATACATCATATCCAATCCGTCAAAATCATAGAAAGTCTGTTTGAGGTAAAATCTCTTTAAATATTCTATTGCAGTGTTTATCACATCATCGTTTCTGAGTTTAAGGTGATCACAAATGATGATAACTGTCTGTATAAGGCAATTAAGGTACTTCAGCTCTTCTTCTGCGGTAAGAATGGGAGTCTTATCAACCTTCCCACTCTCGAATCTCACAAAACTATGAGGATTTCCTTGCATTTTCAATTCATTCTGCAACTGATTCCATTTGTCTGTAGTCTTTTTGATTGTCAGGAATGCTCTCTTAGATCTCTTCTTTTTTATTTCATTAATCTCATCCTGAGAACCAAAGATCCAGTTGTTCTTTTGGGAACTTGTTAAGAAATTAGACATTTTTAATAAATGATATATTCAGTCAGGAGGCTAAATATTGGGGTTTTGGGGTTTTGGGGTTTTGGGGTTTTGGGG